CATCATGTTCGGTGGGGGAAAGGCCAAGTTGATGACGCTTTGTCATGGCGTATTCAGTGTGCCAGCGCTTGAATTGTGGCCAAAAATCCCGTAACAAACGCGGCCTGGATTGTTCCTGTCCGTGCCAGACATCCGCCCAAGGTGGTGATCCCATTCACCATCACAAAGTCTGGTTTCAATATGAACCCAAAATATTTTACACCACACGTCGACCGCTTATATGTGGTTGTAATTCTCCTTGATTTTGATGGATTGCACGTTCTCACATACTTCAGGGGGCTTTGGTGCCTGTCGGGGCGACAAATTGAGCTTCACCCAAGATCTGTTGGAAGAACATAAGTCTTAGAATACACCGTCAGAGCAAAGGCAAGGCGCAAACAATCGGTGCTATCAATGCATAACGAGAGACGCATGCGTCTCGACTATTGGTGGCCTTGGTGGATTGAGAACTTGTCGCGGAACGATTTGTTCTTCTTGGCAGTCGTAGTCTGACACAGCGATTCCGCCGTTTTGGTAGATGACGAGGCGAATGGATGAATGTTGGCTCTAGTTTCGGAACGGTTGGCGAGACTGACATTTTTGAACACCCGAGGCCGGGCAGGATTGATGCATTCAACTGAATCGAACAAGTGGTCAAGCGTTACATTACCAGCATGTGAAGCCCTGATTATAACGAAGCTGGCGGATACTGAACGACGTGTGATGGGCCTCGATCCACTCAGAATAAACCCAACGAAACGGAACAATTAGTCAATCAAACCGAGACTATCCCCAGTATTAAATAGTCACATCCACAGGGGTCGCGATTTGAGTAGGTTGATCGGAACGAGGGTATCCGGATCAGTCCAGGGGCCGGGTGCCGATAGGACCCACACGGAAACCGGCCACGGGTCCGCATGCCCCACATTGTCCCGGCCCCGACCAAGAAAAAAGGGCGCTCAGCCCAAGCTTCGAACCCTCGACCCCTAAGAAGATTCCATGCAAAACGTAGGTGCCCGCAGCCAAACCGCCAACTCATACATCACATATAAAATTCACCAGATCACATCAAACCTAGCCAATCAGCCGAGTGCAAGCCGTTCGAGTGTTGAACAGACAGGTCCGAGGGCCGAAGCTCCTGTTTGATCGAACGCAGCCCTGAAGATGGGTTTATTCGTCCAGTTGGGGTTGAAGAGGCTGCCGCGATTCAGAACTACAGGTTCTTTTTTGCCGGTTACTTTAGGTTGAATTTGTAGCTGAACGCATGAGCGACAGACCAAGTGTGTAATATGCCCTCTCGGTGCGGATTTCAGAGTGACTCGCCGATCCTGGGGCTGGCCGTGAGACCCGGGCCCGGGCGGAGTGGCTGGGTGAAAGCGCCGCAGGCCCCCATCTCGTTGCTCCGCGTCTGCATGCTGCGATTTATTATGAAGAAGGTATATTACATAAAGACCTACTGAAAATCTGTGCCAAAGACAAGCTTTTGCCGTGCATTTTGACACACATGGGCGCCATTCAATGTTGTGTAAGTCCTTCTCTGCAATGCCGAGGGCGTCGCGGTGGGGCGCCCCCAAAGTCGGCGCAGGCATGGTCTGCCCCTGATGGCTGCACTACGAAGATTGGCGCAGAAGATGCTGCTGTGGCTCGATACGCTATGTAATCGCCCCTTTCGCAATTTTCTACTTGGAATTGGACCACGAGCTCTAATGTGGTTAAACTCGTTTTCTTGTGTTGCAAGCGTCTGTTGATTGTGAGTCTGACCGAGCGTTGAACCCATCACCAAGCCCCCTGAAGCCCAGGCCACTTTTGGGATTTCCCCCAGCAATGCCCTAAAAGTAGGTAGCGAAAGTGCGAATGATTTGGCAGAGGGGAAAGATGCGCTGGACGGGCTAGCACTGTTACGGGCTGCGTGTGATTGGCGCGTGGCGGGGCATACCATCTGCCCAGGATGGTACGGGTCTCTGATTGGCCACAGGACAACACACTGGCACATAGGACACTGCTCCCACGCTTTTACTGTCTGTCATCGCTACCATATGGTTGGTCGGTGCTGCTCGGCCATGCCAATCGCGCCGCTTTGGCCAGGCAAAAGTTGTCGATGACCCTCGCAGTTATCATGATGAGTGCGATCAACGAAAAGTCGTGCACATGACTGCGACAACTTGCACGCATGTAGTGCACTTGCAGACCGTCAAATTGAAGCATCGCACCAAATTTTGTGCCGCAGCTGGCATCCAGTGGCAATCATGAGCTTCCCGTCAAACTACAAAATTGCAATGGTCTGTGCTGGAGCAGAGGCAGACTGTGAGCTTCTGGCATCTTTTCTGCCCACATCTTAACCACCTCAACGCACTTGCAATCGGCTTTCCTGGTTGGTGCTGCTTAAAAAGCCCTCCATCCCAACACATCGCGCCCGGATACACGAATCCACCGATTGCGAACCCGGCGAGGCTGATGAGCATGCCGCAACACGAGTGCCGATCCCCTGGAAGCCGAGCTCCGACGTAGGCTGTGGTACCCACTTGACGAGCATGACGAGGGACCTCTCGCTCCAAGTTGGTGTTGCACCCCCTCTTCCTTGGGGTCAATTGAGTCGGACGGTCAGAAGGTTTGTCGAGTACTGCGAATGAGATTGATCAGGGTTGATTGATGCTGCGTTTTGCTGGGTTGATGGAATCGGTCGGCCGTGTTGACGTTGGAGTCATCATTCACCTTGTCGGGGCAACTGGGATGGTCGCAATCGCGCAGCCGCCTATGTCGATCCCGGAGTTGACATGCTTGGACCGATAACGCTGGGCGGGACCGCGCTGGAAAGATGGCCTTCCCCGCCACAGCCTCCTTCATATCGAACAACCCGCCCAACTCTAACAATGTCGTCGCAAACACTAAGAAGCTGAATCGCTCCCTCTGTTTAGCAAGCCATTGCAGCATAGTCTGGTGCGAGAAGGGACAAACGGGCTAAGTTTCAACCAGAATAGGTCGGCAACGTATCCTCTTCCGTGAAACCTTCCTCGTCAGGAACCAACGAATTCTCCTTGCGCGCGAAAACCCAAGATGCACTTGTACTACGTAGACCGGTCGAGACAGTTCCCCGCCTCTTTCTCCATCAAACACCCCCGACTGAAGTCAGATACTGCTGGGCGCGACGTCTTCTCAAGCCCTGAGGTCCATGCACACACACACAGGAAGGTCCGGGTTTGAGTTGGCTGGCTTTAGGTGTAAGCACGCCACAACCGGCAAAAAAGAACATGCAACACCGGGCATTCGCCGGTCGTCACCAACCCGACTACTACTCCAGCCCTCATTGGCTTATCTATGGGAGAGCGGACGGGATCCCGAGTTTTCCAATGGGTATGGTCGTATGTGGTAGTTTCAGTCTGCCAGGGTATAAATAAAGGATGACATTGCGGTGGCTTCAGTCAGGCTTGAAGCTGACGAGCTCGACTGGGAAGCTGGCAGCGACATCGACGGTGCCTGCTCCATGAGACGCGCACCGATACCGCCCGGCTGGGTTCTGTTCATCGATGTGTTATGATGACCGGCGCATTCACTTAGAGAGCATGGTAAGGTCGGGACGAGAGGGTGCAGGAATGCCGTCTTCAAGCGTGATGTCAAGCTTGGGGGTCCAGGCCAAGGCCTGGCATCTGAGATCACCATCGTAGTTCCAACAACCAGCGAGCCGCTGCGGACATTCCGTGCGGGCCGCGACGGCGGCATTAGGCCAATTTATTGCTTCGACGATCCAGAACCTTTGCGTAGCCTCTGATGGTGGACTCTGACCGCAATCGTGTGCATCGTGTGCAAGCATATGCAAACGCTGCCTTCACGTTCAAGAGGCTATGCCACGATGCACCGTCAGTCGACGCCAACCTCCGCGAGCTGTGACCGCACCATCGCCTGTCCGTCCAAAGTTCCCCTACCGCCTCCCCGTCACCACAACCACTTTCGCCGCGAGGCTTCTCCCCGAGGATATACTCATTGGTCCCATGAGCAAAAGGCGAGCAGGACGTGACGGTGCATATTATGCAAGGCCGGTGTGCAAGTGCGCGCAGCCGAAGTTGCATTGAGTGCCTTCACCTGCAAATTAACACACAGGCCGTTATGCATGCACTTTACAGGTAATATTTGTCGGCGATGCACAGCAGGCGAGGATGGTCCTGGTGGGCCGGCCTACTAACACTCTCTATCACGATATGCTGCATGGACGCATGTTGCAGCAGCAGGCTCATGCATGTAAATGGTTCAGTACTCTACATGATTGATTGCATCGTGTCCCGGCAGACTGACTCACCTTAGTCATCCACGCTCAAATGCAGGTCCTGTTGTGAATACGAACCTACTTGCGGGGTTGAAGATGCCCCGCGACCGGGACGTACCCGCTGCATTGCTGCATGCGCGTGTACCAACGGCAGTCAAATCATCCATAGGGAGATGCTGCCACGAGCGGGAGGGTGCTTCCAAGAGCGAGTTGCTACCATGAGCAAGGTATGCTACTAGGAGCGGTGCTTCTATGAGCGATGGGGTGCTGCCAAGAGCAAGAGATGCTGCCAAGAGCGAGATGCTTCCAAGAGCGAGATGCTTCCAAGAGCAAGAGATGCTGCCAAGAGCAAGAGATGCTGCCAAGAGCAAGGGATGCTTCCAAGAGCGAGAAGACTTTGCTACACACTATGACGCGAAACCCAATAATTCATCCACCAGAGTCAGAGAACCCAGATGCTTGATAGAAAAAGGAAAAGAAAGGACCATCGATAGCGAAGCCACTCTTCTTATACACAAAAATTGAGAGTGGAAGCCAGCGCCTTACCAATGCAAGCTGTGGTGCAGACAGAACCTGACAGTTCGGGGTTTTCCATCTGGTGAAGGCAAAGGGCGGAGGAGGGAGTGTGGGGACCCGACGAACGGGCTGTCTGCCGGCATCACACTACCGCAGCTTCCCGTTGACGGACGTCAGCGGTGAACATGTTCATGCCATGGATGCTTGCGACGAACATGTTCGCGCGCGGGATGCGGCTTGAACCAGTATGCAGGAACCCTTCGGCGGTGTGCCCACCGCTCCAGCTCCATGGAAATCGGGACCTGGATTCAGGGCATCGCAAGAAGCATCGAGCAAACAGCCGGCTGCCTTAAAGCTAGAGAGGTCGGACTGTTTGAGACGCTCGTCTCTCCTTCTCTCGCACCCGTACACACGAGCACGCAAGCCCGTCGTCTCCAAACACAAGCTCTCCAGGCGCAAGCGTTGTGCCATGTGCAAACATACCCAGGTAACTATGACCTACGTAGCAAGAAGATCCTCCAAATGGCACCGACGATTGACTGATTGATGCCAGCGTCCCGGCGCACGCGCCATCTGCGGCACGCCCATCTCCTACTACCAAGACAACCTCAAGAACCGCCGCCGCTTCCGCTTCCGACTCTGCCCCGCGACAGAGCGCGAAGTCATCGACGCCGTCATCCAGCGCGGCAGGCTCGAGCCGCCTTCCCGCCGCTGGATTCTTCAGCTTGCGGCCAGTTGCGGCATTTGGTTCTCGCCGGGGGACAAAACCCGTGGCGGGGTCAGGGCCGGGGCCGAGCCCACGACCAAGGTCCACGTTCCGTACATCGACCGAGTCCTCGAGGACAAGTTTGCCAACAAGGTCGAGACGATCCTCAAGCTTGCCGTCAAGAAGGGCAGCATCGCTACTCCTTCTGCCGTCCACCCATCTGGACCTACTGCCGCAGTCGAGCAGCTCCAGCCCAGCACCATCGCAGCCACCAGTGTTACCGTCGGTATCAAAGCGAGCACCAACGCTGATGCAATGACGATGGATCGAAGCTCGGATTCGCAGGAGGGCTTTGTCGAACAGGTAGAAGAGACAGGTCCGAAGGTTCGGGAGAAGAGGAAGCAGAAGAAGACGGTCGCAAGACGAGGACGTCACGATGCGATTGATGCGCTCGTTGACGACATTTGGGAGAAGATGTGTCTGTAGCCGTCAGCCTAGACAAGTTCGGCCGTCTCGCCTGCGCGGCGATTCGCTCGACGTATGCGCCTTGCCTGAGATCAATGCCTAATCAACTCGGTTCTTGTGTCCACCAGCTTCCATTGTGCAGTGTTCTCGTGTTCCATGTAGAGCAGGATCCAATGATTGCTCGCGGGGCATCCAGCTAAGCCATCGGCTCGTTGAAACCAGAGTCAGCCTCAACTGGGACCAGCGTGAACCCGATGCAGAACGGTTTCGAAGCAGAGGGCGGCGACAAGGCCGACGCTGGAAATGGGGTGCGATCATGGCAAGGATTGTCGGAGTTTCGGGGCGGAGGTAGGATTGTGAATCAGACTCGCCGGTGTTGCCGAAGCGAAGGAGGATGGGGGAGGGCGAAGGTAGATACCAGTCCGTGTCGTCGCTCGAGGGTATGTGTCTGGAGATGCGGCTCGTAGTGCGAGCACATCCATTTTGGGGCCTGTGGAGGATGCATTCGTTTTCCAGGGTACGTGATAGAGGGAAGCACAATCGGGGTCGAGCGAGGGCGCAGCTCGCTGTAAATTCTCCTGAGCTGCAGGGGATGAGCTGGCGAGAGGGAAGGATCAATGAGCCTTGTTTTCGAGTTTGGAGTTGACCGGGCGGCGTCTCGTGCTGGAATGACAAAGAGTTTTGGAGCTTTAAGAGGAGAGTATCGTGGCAGAAGGGTGTTATGATCGTCGTCGGGGAGAGAGGGCGCCGGGGCGCGGGAGGCTGCGTCGTAGACGAGGGTAGCAGTTAGCATGTGGTGTCGAGGCAGATAAACTGACCGGAAGGACTGCCGGTCGTAGATGGGATGGAAGAATGGGTGTATGCCAGGTTTGACCAACCTATAATAGGGGCAGCAGTGTTAAAGGGTCGAGTGCCTCTGCAGGAAGACAGCTGGAGCACTCGAAAACCATGCTCCTGCAAGGGGGTACAGTACCCGATTCGTCACTGTCTAATGTCAGCAGTAGCTGCACCCGCTGCTGTCGCGTCTGCTTTCCCAATGCGCCTGGCTCAGACTTTGATCGGGATCCACAGCTGTGTGGTGTGCCCAATCAGAGAGCTGTACCATCATCAGAAGATGGTACAGACCCTCAAGCGCCAATCACAGCTGCCCTTGACCTGACGCGAGCACTGTCAGCAGCCACGCCAATCCGATGTCATGTTCGCAGTCAACCTTAAAGACCGCTGCCATCTGACGATGCATGGCATTCTGTGTTGCGCTTGCATCGAAACCGGAAGCAGGCTATGCAGCCATGAACTTGTCGCCATCCTCCCAATTGATGATGACGACAGCTCAAGACGCGACGCGATGGGATAGAAGCTCTGACGGCCCGCTGCACCGGGCGAGAACGCGCGAGGCCTAAAATTGTGAGTTTGCAGCCAATGACCTGGCCTGCCTGGGCAACGTCTTGTGCAGGAGACATCAACGAGACTCAGCAAACATGGTGCGGCCGACTCGACGGCGCGACTCGTCAAGTTCCCTGGCGACAAAGTGCATAGTGAGGCTGAGGATAGTGGCTGACAGAAAAAGTCCCCAATTTCGTGGGGACTTTCTTAAGGTAAGGTAGCATAGGAAACTCCTACGTGGGTGGTACCTGCCTGCCCAGGACAGCTTGGGGGGAGTCATGATGATCGGGGTGCACGCCTTCAAGCCTATCCGTGTCATGGTCTGGAAGGCACCAGGGTTTTTCTGCACTTGCCCTGGACCTTTTGTAATCTTGATGTCATCCAATTGCTGCCACGGTTGTAGCACCGCGCGCGCGAAAGCACCCACCTAAAGCCTTCGGTGATGGTTCCTTCCGACCTGCCTGTGGTGCTGCGGCCAACCAGAGAGCTGTACCATCCTCAGAAGATGGTACCGGCCAACCAGAGAGCTGTACCATCAGAAGATGGTACCCCGCCCCCACCACGGTCCAACCTCCACTTCCCGCCTTAAAGGTCGTCCGGCATACCTGCCTGACCTTCAGCCGTGTTGTCTCGTCTTGAACTCCTCAGGTGCTCACTACCTTGATTGACTACCGAGCACTCAATCAAACATCTTCCATCGACACCTTGGGAAATCCAGACCTAATTAGCCAGGTTCGATCAGCGTCGACGGGCGCGCCGGCATCCCAGCCCCACACGGAGACTGCACCTGTGCCACGGCGTAGAGGGGAGGCCCTGAAAGGTCACTAACATCCTGCCCACCCGCCAGTGACCTTGTCAAACTCTGCGCAACGAAGTCAAGTCCCTGCACACCAGCCGCATCGGAATGAACAACCGCCCAATGATCCTCGGCCACTCTTGAGGGTCCAAGGAAGAAGGCGATCCGTTCGAAAACCCGCCGATCGGGGACTCGGATACGATCAAGGGAAACACAATCAATAGTCCAAGATGGAGCCGTCAAGACCACTTTAGCGATGACCCTAAGTCACAAGAGCCTACCTTTGGGCCCCCCGTCCGGATTGATCGAAGGACCAACCAGCGAATATGCAGCGAAGTCTCCCCAGAAGTCCCTGGTTGACCGTGACTGGCTCGTCAGGGCCCGTACCATCTTCCCGGATGGTACGGCCCTTTGATTGGCTGCCAGCTTCCCAGGCAAGGACACCAAGGTCACAGTGGCCAGTTGAGGTCCTCTTTCTTTGGCAGTTTCGGAGCATGGGCCGGAGCTTGGGCCGAAGCATGCAGGTACAGACAATGAGGTCACAGTGTGGCGTTTGGGATGATGAGGCGGCCCTGTGGCGGTGCGGGGGTGGAACGGTCAAATGGGCACTTCTACCAACACCAACTGCTCTCGCGCGCCTCCAGGTGGTCCCATACGCTCGTAACACACTCAATACGAAAATTCGACAGGAATAAAGACCTTTCAGATGCCAAGGTGGGACAAAATGCAGATGGCTGGTTAGCTGTGGTCAAATACCCTCCCTGAGTCCCTGCATCCGTTTTGTTTGTTGGAGCACCAGGCAGGATCAGGGGAGGGGACCGCAGGGCTGGCTTTAGGGGCAGACGCACGTTTTCTGGCGCTGCGATAAAGTAATGCTTAGCGCTGGAGTGGGACCTGGCTAGGGAATTGCTGCCGACCTGGGCCCACAGCACTAGGCCCTGAGGTTAGTGCTGCCGCCCCCTGAAGCACGGGCTGCCATCCACTGATCTGCAGGATATGGCCCCGGGTGGGGGTTCTGATCTGCATGCGGCCCAGCGACGATGGCCCGTTGATGAACTTCGCCAGACATCACAACAAAGCCGCCTGACGGGTAGGGCCCAGACCAATTGACGTATCCTCTGGCAGCCCTCAGCCGAATGCTGTGGCATCTTCGCGAGCCGTCTGCCACGCAGGCCAGGGCTGGCGGAACCCAGCAGACGGGAGAAGGTTTCAGCCAGTCAAAGGCGGCAACGACAAACGGACGCCATCCATCCATGAATCCCAACAACACCACCACCACCAGCCTTCACCTTCCGCTCTTCCTCCCTCCCCAGAGCCACCGCAGCCTCTCAATGCTTCATCCAGACGGATGAGACGCGCAGAAATGCCTCGACAGACGGACCTCTCCCACATAAGCTCGCTGCCAAGCAACATCAGCGACGAAAAGTACCAAGCATTCGTCAACGCAAACAAGGAGCTTATAACGAACAAGTTCTTGCTCACGCGCGATGATTTCGACTGTACGTTCAAGCCCCTCTCCCTCTTCCTCCCCCTCTGCGACTCTCGCCCTTCCTCTTCCATGGCTAACATGTTACAGTGAGGAGCACCCGGTCGGAGCCTCGTGGACGTCTCCCGGGTCAGCCCTTGAACGCAGCGACAAGCCTCCGAGAAGTGAGACGGGCCGCGCCGACGCGACGACCAGTCGCCGCTGCCCCCGCGAGCAAGAGAACCGCCGGACGACGAAATACCACATATGTTGATTTGGTTGACGAGGAGGAAGAGGGTGGAGAAGAAGAGGAGGAGCAGGAGGAGGAGGAGCAGGAGGAAGAGCAGGAGGAGGAGATACTGGAAGAGGAGGAGGAGGACCTGGAGCAAGACGTCCCCGAGACCATGGTTAACAAGGAGAGAGTGCGCGTTGCCATTCGCAACTTTGTCGTGTCTTCCGAGAGCACGGCTCGTGCGGAGGTGGAAATGCGCCTGGCTCTGTACGAAATGCTCCGGCACGGCGTCGAAGACGTTGATCCTGAGCCGGAGGTGGTCGCCGGCCCCAGCCACCATCGACCCCAGGCCACCAAGTCGACACCGGCCAAGTCAACACCAGCCAAGTCAACACCAACCAAGGCCAAGCTCAAGACAACCAAGAAGACAGTCAAGGGCAAGGGCAAGGGCAAGATGACAGCCCGGGCGACCAGGGAGCGGGACATTGATGACCTGATGAACCTGTTCTAGAGCAACAATGAGAACGAGACCTGTGTGTGCGTTGGTTGTCGTTCAGCAGGTAGTGCAGCCATTGATCGCATCATGCTAGTTAGTAGTGCGATTTGAGAAGACATTAGCTGCAGAAATCCCAAGGCCCAGGTGTTCGTTGCCATATTGAACATGCATGCAAGGTGATGATGCAGTCTGCCGTCCTTTGTCTCTCCCCCCACCACCACCATCCCACAAACGCAGCCAACTGGCAAACGCACTCCATCCACCGCCCCTCTTTCTCCTCTCCTTTTACTTTCTCATCTCCCAAGACCCCTTCTTCTCCATGCTGCTTCGCCCCAAGTGCTGCAGTCACAATGTCCGCTTCAAAGAAGCAGACCTTCCGCGGCGTCGACGTCGTCACCCTCGTCGGCTCCAGCAGCATCAAGATCCGCTGGGGGCCCGCCGACATCATGGCCATCGAGGCACACCTCGCCCGCCACCGCCTCCATCTGGGCAACTACGGCACGCTCTACTTTTTCGAGATCCTCAACCTGCTCCTCGCTCGCGACGGCATGAGCAACGAAGCCGACCCCGAGGCCACCCTCATCATCTCTCCCAAGGTGAAGTCCTCCCTCCAGTACCGCCTCAAGAAGCTCGCCAAAGAGGGCCACGTGGAGCTCGCCCGCGGTCTGCAGAACCAGCATACGGCGCGCTGGGAGGCGTACACTAGTTCCTGGGCCAAACCGGGATGGGATGGTTGCAAACAGGCGCCGCTGCAAACCCCCCCGACACCGCCGCGGGATGTTGATGATGAGGATGACGATGAGCTGATGCCCTTCCCCCCTGTCGAAGACGCAGAAGAAGTCGTCGCGCCCCTTCTCCAGACACTGTCATCCCCGCCTGCGACTCCGCGCCTCCGCCCCCAGCAGGCCGCCAGCGAGCCCTGGCTCGACGTCGCGGGTTTCGGGTCCCAGCCCACGCTGGAGGAGAACCTGGCCGCGTTCGAGATGCCCTCATCGACTGCCGCTGCTCTTTTCGGTCTTCCCGCTTCGCCGCCGCCGCCGCTCCCGCCGCGAGTCTGGCAGCAGCAGCAGCAGCAGCATCGCCAGCGCCGAGCACTACCACAGACTCCGCCGCGCTCGTCCGCCATCGTGGTGGTAGACAACTCCCCTCCTGCAGTCGTTGCCGCTACCCCCGTCGGCCCCGCCATCGCCCGCGCCGTCACCCCGGCCAGTCCGCTCAGTGACCGGTACGTGGCTATGGTGAGAGCAGCTGAGCAGCGTGAGCGTCACCGAACGCCGTCTCCCCGTCCTCCTCCTTCTCCTTCTCCTCCTCCTCCTCCGCCGCCACAGCAGCAGCAGCAGCAATTGCTGCTCCGCCACGAAGAAGACGAGGAGCCCCGAGTACAACAAGACGATCTCACGCCCCCTAGAACCCAAAACCGAGCCCGAACCCAAACACGTCCGCGCATGGTTGGCGCCGCCTCATTCACCCTCTTCAGTGACCAGGCCAAGATCTACATCAAGATGCACCGGTGTGCCCTGGTCGTGCTCCTGCTGACTGCTGGGGTCGCGGGCAGCAGGATGAGTGAGGATAAGAGGGAGGAGCTGGTGGAGGAGGTCAGGCAGCGCATGAGAATGCTTGCGGTGGCGAATGCTGGTATCGAGCGGCGGTTGGCGGCCATCTCGTTGGTGCTTGCTTCGCCTCAGGATGGCAGCACGGCGATCCGGAATCTGTATCGTGTTTCTGGGGTTGAGTATGCTGGATGACCTGTGTATGTGGATTCGTGCTTCACCGCGCGTGGATGGACCCGAACGTATTTGTAAGGCTAGAAGAGAAGTAGTTGGAATGTGACAAGTCTCGTTGGCTAGGAAAACCAGTTTCTAATAACACCTGGCACCTTACCCAGCGCGCCGCCATCGCTCCGCCGCCCGGGTACCTCCCGCCGCCGACGCTGCCACCAGAACAACCTCTCACGCATGTAGGGATCCTCCCGGTCGTCTTCCATGTTCCACCTGCTCCAGACCAGGCCCTCAGGTGTGCGGCCGCCCTCATCCTCGCTCTCGATTTCGTCGATGCCGGCCATAAAGTTGACTTGCCTCATCTTGGTCGCCAGGTTGCATTCTTCATACTCCGTCCGGATCCACCGGTGGGCGAACTCCATGTCGACGGCGATGACTGGCCACCCGGGAAAGGTCGCTGCAGGCCCAGACACGGTGCTATTGGTGCTGCTGCTGCCACCGCCGCTGCCAGGGTCGATGGGCGGCGACTGGCGTGCGACCACGTCGCGGAGCACAAGGACTGCCGAGCGAGCCCGGTTCCGCATGTCAGCCAGACGCGCGAGGGCGATGGTGCGTAGGAACGGGGCGGCGCGATGTATCCGTGCGATGCCGTATTGGGAGGGGTTGTCGAGGAGTGAGCGCATCCCTTCGTCGGGCGCCACGGTCGGGGGTATCGGGTCGGGCACGACGGCGACGGTTTGATTGACACGCGCGATGATGTCTGAGAGCAGGGCGTAAGCTTCGTCGAGGACGGCGGCGTAAAGAACCAGCACTTGTTCCCGAGGGACCTTGGCGTATCCGTGGTCGTGATGGCCGGGCGCGGCCTCTCCGGGAATGTCGAGATTGACCGTCACAAGTGGCCTCCTGGCCATTTTTAACAGGCTCTGATGGGTGCTGTTGATCCTGTCTTGTCCATTTGAGTCGGTTGGCAGGGTAGAGGAAGAGAGGCTTGGCTGCGGCGGTGTAGGCGTGTGCAAAGGCGACCGCCGCTCGCTTCGTACGATCATGTACGCCGCCCATACTGAGCTGAAGGATTCCGGAACGTCAGCATCCTCGGCCAGTCTGGACCAGTCAGGCCTGACAAGGGTGGCGGGTGTGGTAACCGGCGATTCGTACTTGGCTGAGACTGTGACGTCGGGTTCGCGTTTTCGGACCTCGACAAGCTCCAGCAGGCGCGAGCTCGAAGCGAGGAACACGTCGGAAGACCAGTTCTTGGGAAAGGCTCGGATCTTGCCGTTGAGAATCGTGAGACGGGAGAGGACCCTGGAGACCTGTTCCTGAAGGGCGGCGAGGGATGGGGCGGTCTTGTCGCCATCTTCCACATTGTCATCGGCGGAGCTGGAGCGGGGGTCGGCAATGCTACCTGAGTTGCGTCTCAGGTCCCAGATAACGTCAGGGAGAACAAGTCGCAGGTCGGACAGGAAGTACTCCTCTGGTACAAAGTGGCCGGCCGAGTTGCACGCGAAGGCGGGGGGTTCCGGGGCATATCGGCCTACTAGCTCGTGCAACGACCTGGCGGCAAAGCCGAGAGACAGGACCCTCGGCACAGAAGCGTAGCGGACGAGGTTTGCGGAGTAGAGGGCGAGTAGATCGAGGTGGCGAACAGGAGGGGAGGGAGAGGCGTGTGTGTGGCCGCCTTGAGATGGGCGCTCTCGAGAGAGTGGCAGGTGTGGGAGAGTATGAAGTAGGGCAGCCAGACCAACTACCAAGGTAGCGCATGCTGCGACACGCAGGGGTATCGAGCGCAGTCGGGTCGAGTTCCCGAACCAGCGCAGGTAAGAGATCAAAGGCCAGAGAAGGCGCTGCTGCGGAGTTTGGGCTCGGCTTCGGTGGATGACGGATGGTTGGAGGCGGTTGAGAATGACGTCGTGTTCGGTTGGGTAAAGCTTGACGAGACCAAGGTGAACGAGGCAGTTGTACTCTGGAGCAGCTGTCGATGCCGACATGGGGGCTATGTTTCTCCCGAAGGACCCTGAAGAACAGCGCCGCCTCTTGACTGGCAAAGCAGATGTCTCGCCATCATCGCCATCGTCATCATCGTTAAAAGAGTCATCGGTTTGGTGTCCTTTCGAATGGCTGGTGCCCGGACGGCGTCTCTTCAACTCGGGATGTTGCGTCTCCGCCTCTTTTAGCGAGGATACTGGTGGCGAGTCTTGCAGGCAGCATCCCCCATTGTGGACAGATTCGGAATCTGGAGACAGAAGCATGCAGCGGATGGAGCCTTGGCACCCGGCGGCGTCTCCGAGTCCAATGTTCACAATCGTGTTCGCTTCTCGCGAGGTATTGCGATCGGTATCGTCTCGGCCGTCGAAATGTAGGCTGATCGTCTCGGAGAGGGAAGGCCAGCCGGAGTGGAAGCAGAGTCGGAGGGTCTGAGGCTCGTGGCCTGGTCGCTGAATGGACAGTTGAAGGGCGGCGAAAGAGTCATTGTTGCTGTTGCTATTGCCGCGTTTGCTTGGGGCGCTGTTCGTGGTCATTTTCAGGAGCAGCAGATGTTCGGTGTCTGGTCGAGTGCCTCCGGGTCAGAGAAGACGACGAGGTTGGCCGAGGATACCATGAGTACGAGAGGTGTGAGTGCCATGTCGAGTAGGAGGCTGGGGTGTAACGCGAGAGCGAGGGATGGTTGGTCTTCATTGTCGCGGCGAGAAGCAGAAGACAATCACCATCCGAAGTCATTGTTGGTCGCATTGTGATTGCAGCAGCAGACCCACTCGCGATTCAAGCCACAGATGTGAAGCCACAGGTGGGAAGTTACACTGAAGGGAGAAGCCGCAGAGAAAAGCCACAAGAGGCAAGCCACATATGGGGCGCCGCAAGGCCGGAGCCACAAGCCAAGAGCCACATGTGAGGCGCACCATTGTTCAATTTCAGCCACATAGCTACGGGTACCGTACCATCTCTCCACCACCACTTCAACTGCGACGACCCACTCCAATCCATCCTCATCTATCTAACTTGCACGCCTTTTTGGCCTTACATCCGCCAAACCATGTGAACCCAGCGCCGCCGCATCTCCGCCCAAGTCGCCATCCTCCGCTGTGCAAGCTTCCGCGCGGGCCCTGTTCTCGCGTTCACATCCCCATCACACCTTCCAAGCCGGCTTTGCCTTCGACCGCACCTGAAGCGTGGGTCCCGGAGCCGGCTTGCTCTTCCACATGGGCCCTTTCCGAGTCTCTGGCTCGTTCGGGCGGTCGTTCACTTGGGCGGGGATGGCGGATGACGCTGGGGTGTTTGTGCGCCTGGCATGCTTCTGGGTAGCTGGCCTGTTGAGGCTGTCGTTAACTAGGGCGGATGATGCGAGGGTAACCGGTGTCTCGTCGCTGTTGTTGAACTGAGCCATGGCGCTGTCGCGGTTCTGCTGTCGTGCTGCAGCCTTGTTCTGTTTGTGGCGCGCGTACCACTGTCGATACCACCGTCTCATCTCCTTGTTGTCAGCCATCTCCTGAGCCAACTCCTCCGGGGTCAATTCCTCCGGCTGTTGCGCCGACACCTCATCCTCTGCGGGGAACCCGCCGGGAACAGTACCTCCGGTAAAGGCATTGCTAGCCCCCGCGCCAGTGAAATTTGCTCGGTCTGCGGTCGCAGCTGGCGTTTCCGAGTGTTGTCCCGCGAAATTGGAGTAGGAATAGCCAGGAACGGTGGAAAGACCGGAGGTCTTGCCAGCAGCTGCACCAGTCTGCCACATGCTTGGAGATGAGGACGACACCGGAGGAAAGCCACCCTCGACGTGATAACCCCCGAAAACACTCCGAATACCCGAGACGATGGAGGCCGTCGCATCACGGTTTGAAGCTGTGGCTGGAGCTTCCGAGCGTCGTCCCGCTAATACCGAAGAGAAGCGGCCAGGATCATTGGGAAGAATAGAGACAGAGTTGGTTGTTGTAAGAGGTACCTCTTGGATTGGGGGTATGGCTGGTGCTCCTGACTGTTGTCCCGCAGAAGCTGCTTGCGAAGAGCTGGGAACATCGGGAAGGACAGTGGCATCCTCGACCGCCGCATCAGCCACCTCTTCAACGTCCAAGGCCGCGGCTGCTCCGCCATTTCCGACCGTCTTGTCGAGGGAGTTGCGCCACTTGGTGAGTAGGCCGAGATGCGCGGCCAGCTTCCTATCGCCCTCCTCAAACCACTCCTGCGGTACGCGCACTTTGTCGTCGTTGACGTCCTTGATTAGGTGGTTCTTCTTGGCGAAGGCGAGATTCAATTTGAAAGATTCGCTGTTGGCCGTCTTGACGTAGTGCTGCGGCGCGTCCTCGCCCTTGTCCTTGATGGTTTGCTGTAGGATGGCGGCGAAACGCTGCAGTTGGTAGCAGCGTTGGACGTTCGCGTCGGTCGAGCGGTCGATGATGACCGTCTGGCGCGACGGAGAGCTTCCTTCCATGATTCTCGGTTGCGATGCGGTCTCTGCGCTTGCGATCGGTGGGATGGTTCGTTAGATGTGTTGAGAGAGAGACCGAGGCACAAGAACGAAAAGGGAGTGACAGACGACTTATGGGCGGGGGTTTTGCGGAATATCCATTTGAGCCTTCCATCGCCTTCGTGTGCTGCCTTTCCGTCTTCCGTCTCATCCTTTGTGCCTTGTCATTTTCTACGGTCACTAAGCAGATGTGATGCATCAGGATCGGCGAGACATGATGCATGGGGACGCCTTTGTCCGTGCATAAGTTGTCTTGGATTCAAAAACAGCTCTGAAAGAGCCTGAAGCCACTGCTCGCCCGCCTCACTTCCCTCGCCTGACGAACCAATGTCAGATCAGTCACAAACCGTCAGCCCCAACTGCATGTCATATAGGACGGGGCCAGTCACATACCGAGGAACCCCCTGACAACCAAAGTCCCATCGCGTCGCAAGCCACGAGCCATGACCCTGATACCAGTCTTTGAGAATCTGTAGAGCAGATGGGAGTTGCTAATCTGAAGAATATCATTTGGGATAGAATGATGGTGAAGCTCAGACGACAATCAGACAGAGGGTGTGCAGCTCTTCTGGCTTGCTCGCTTCATGCGTCACCGCTCATCTATATGAACCAAGAACTTGTTATGCTTTGCAACTTCTTGGGGGCACTTGAGAACATTCGCGCTGCCTTGGTCTATCAATCAACCTTTCCACATCTGTCTTCCAGTCTTCTCAAGCCCCTGGCATAGGTTCCCCGCAACCATGGCACGTCAGGCCGATCCAGATCTCATGGCGAGATACATGAAAGCTCTGCAGAGGCGTACAGGGGGCAACACACATCAAGATCATGCAGCTGAGACTCCCCAGCAACCTCGGTCCCCGGATTTTCCCCCGAGACCTCAGTCCAAGGAGCCACTTCTGCATTCACAGTCTCAGGAACGTTCTGATGTAGATACCGCTGTGATCAGCAGGCCTCAAACAGAAGTGCCTGTCCCAACTTACTCACACGAAGCACACTCCCCGCCGACGTCTTACGGTGCCCTCCCGGCTGCCACGCCGGTCGCTGTAACGAACAACTACGTAAACGGAGATATGAACATCCACCAACAAGATCAGCACAACTACCAAGCCGATGGTAAGAGACACAGCACCACCAATGCCGACGATGCAACCGGCCGTCCCGGCTTGCTCGGTAGACTTGGCGACTTTGCTGGCTTCCTTCTTCGCCATTGGCGGATGACTATTTCTGTAGTCCTCCTCTGCCTGCTGTCTCCGGCCAATCGCAAGCTGTGCCTGAATGAGGAGTACCGCCTCATCGCCCGGAACATCCCCCGCGTCGCCGACCTCTGCGCGGGTCTTCCGTCTTCGACCGCAGTTCTAGAAGACGTCGCGTTCCCGCCTTTTTGTCGCACATTCCCCGCCATCAAGGGCTCGCATGTCTCGATATCCGTGGCCGCCATCGCCCGAGAGATCGTTGTCTTGGGCGACATGGAGCTCGCCGACGTGGCCAAGGGCGACGGTGTCTGGAAGAACGTCTTCACCGACACGCACCGAATCGACCGGAACCTCAGGAGAACCAACGATGCCTACGAGAAGCAGCGGACCACAACCTACAGAGCGCTCTACCGTCTCAACAGGCGCATCAAGATCGAGATTGCAAGGATGGAGGAACCCGTGAGCGGCTGGTATGCTTGGACTCCGGACTGGCTGGTCGTTCTTTGGACCGGCCGCAGGGACCAGGCTGTGACCTTGAACCTCCTGGACGAGCTTGAGAGCCTCGCGATGGATGCGCGGGCGCAGCGCAAGGCGCACTGGGATGATCTTCATGCCAGCGGACTCGGCGCTGGAGACTTCGACGCTGTTGTGGGGCATCTTCGCAGCTTTGCGACTGACATTGCTGTTGAGAAGAAGTCGCTTGCAGTCCGTGGTGATGCGGATGGCGATCACGATGGTGATGATGAAGATGTGGAGAAGAGAAGAGCCGCCGCTGACTCGAGTGAGGCTGGTGTTTGCATGGTGCGCCAGGTGATGCTGGATGTTTCTGCGGCACACTCGGCCTTTCTTGTGAGCCTTGACAGGGTGAGTCTGGCGCTTCTACTCGATCGATTCATTCTTGTTTCACTTGGGTTCTGTTTTGTCTTGTTTCTGTTGGTCTTTGATCGTCGCAATGTCTCCAGACAGAAGACTTTGAGGTTTCAGACCCGACTGACGAAGAACGCAGGAGATACATCACCTCGGAGAGCTCATTGAGATGACAGTACCGACACTCCGGGGCAAGGCTCGAGACGCATATGGAAAGCGAGAAGGCATGTTGTTTGTGCTACGTCAAGTTCAGGAAGAGACGGAGTCTTGGTTCAGGGTCATGCCCGCCTGGGAATGTGCGGATAAGTGAGCGATGAATGATAGTGGCTGCGATGCGACATGCTTATTTCCTTGGGGTTCTGTTTGGCGTCTTCTATTTTTCGCATTTCCAGTCAGATTGGTCATATTTCTCAAATTTTATAATCCCTAGAGCTTTCCCCCCAATAGAAACATTCCTTTTCTTGTTTTACATCCATGGAGTTCACACAGGATGGTCAAAGAATGATGCGCGTTCAAATCTGCAGTACTCTTGGGTGGCTGGGAGTGAACCGCTGATGGTTTCTCACATCTTTGTCATCTTGTAGTTATACTTGTGACTGACATTTCGTTTCAGGGCCATCCTCACTTCGTCCAGGAATCTCTCTTTGTTTCCAACATTTGGATGTGCGTTCCGTCATGTTCTCGAAACCGCTGGGGACATCTGACTTGCTCATTGTCTTGTTAGTTTCAAAAGTCACTTGAAGCTGCAAGTGATATGTCTATAAGAAGAAGAGTTGCCTGATCGTACTGCATCGAGAGTGCTTTCTCTGGTTACTCACACCACAAGTTGATTATGTCGAGACCTTTCCGCCCTTCTTTGAACGACAGCTTTGCAGGCCCAGACGTACTAACTCGGTACAAAACAAGACCGTCAGCACATAGCCCAACAGCACTAAGAGGAGCTGGTGCAGCTGGCGATGGAGGGTCGTTCCTGGAAAGGATGATCTGGAATTCGCGGACCCCTGTGGGCGCCGTGGTCGTTGCCCTATTGGCGTTTACCTTCTGGCCTCGGACTCCGTCACCCAAGCCAGTGCCAGTGCCTGCGAAGAACGGCAAGGGGGAGAGTAAGACAGATCACCATCCACTCAGACATCTACGGTCAGCAGCTGACCAAATGCATGATGAACAGTGCCCAAGGAGATCGCCGACATCTGCGCCATCGAGGCAGCCGTCGTATCTCACGTGCCCTCACACGAACAACCGCCGACCTTCTTTGAGCTCCTCGGCCTCGACCCCTACAGCCACCCCTTCAGCCCGCCCGGGTCTAGCACACAACGGGGCGCCGCCGGGGCCGCCAAGGCTGCCGCTGCGGAAAAGCTGATCAAGGAGGCCTGGCTGCGACTTGTCGAGGGCGTAGACAAGACGTACATCTCGGTCGAAATCATCGGGGAGCGGGGTGCGAGAGAGAGCACTGAGTCTGGAGTTACCCAGTTCATCAGCTACAAGGATGTGCGTTCGAAAGTCAAGCTTGAACGTCTCTCAACGGACGCGGAAGCGCTGAGAAGACTTTATAACCAGGTGGCTCAGCTTTTGCTGGACCCCGGATTCCGCAGCATGTACGTACATTACTTTATGCCTGGAGAGCAGCTCTACAAGTCTGAGGTCAAGAAGGACCTTCAGCAGGGATGGGTGCACAACCGGAGAGCCAAGGTGGGTGAGGTTTGCGGATGGGATGAGGGAGACGGGCAAAAGTAGAGTTTGGTGACATGAAGCAATAACGCGGTGAGCGTTGCTTAGTGGAACCTGGCGGCGCCATTCACGGGAAAATTATTTTATTTATTTTTTGGTTGTTTTTTATCTCTTCCCTCTTTTCATGCTTTTTGCAGCATGTCCGATAGAACGTTGCAATTATCCACGTCTCTCCACGCTTGGCCTGTGTATTCATTCCACGACAATGGACTGTCTCCCGCGCAAGACTCGCCATCAGACGTGGAACCTACCGTCGTCCTGAGAATACCTCAACTGTTACTCAACTCAGCCGCTGGCTACCATGAAGACTCTGCTCCAACGTACAGGCAGCAATCCAAGTGCCTTGCAAGTTCATCTGCCGCCATCATAGCAGCAATACAGACGAAAACGAACAACTGCTTCACGCCAAGCAGGCAAACCATATGCCCTTCACCCCATCTCACACGATTACCGGAGTTCCTCAGCCTGTACGACTTTTTCTTCCTCATCTGAGAGTGAGATCGCCAACGCTGCCGAGTCCAAGGCAAAGAGTTACCTGGACAAGCCCACTTTTACCTTGACGATGCGTATGTTCGCACTGCCATTGCGTTGTGACCTGCGTGCCAGATGGCGAGCAGGCCCGGCAAAAGTCACGACTTGTTTTCGAGATCTTGGCGAAGTAGCAAGATTACGGGCGACATCAGACCTTGTGGGACGGTCGCAATTCCTCACGCCATGACGCTCTCTTGGTCAACATGGTCACATGCGGCTCCTTGAGCATTGAGTGTGCTTTGCGAACTCAATTAATTGTTGCTGTTTTACAGTCAGAGTCCGTCCTTCTGGAGCTCTTCCTTGACTTCGATTCCGCGTCTACCTGGACTCGCAGAGATGTCGCGTAGGAAGGTAAGTTGACGACAGTATTGGATCGGAGCTGCCACTCGGCCGACGAGGCGTGAACCCTGTGAGAAGCAGGGTTGGCCGCATAGTTACCGTCGAGTTAGCGATCTCACAGACGGAGGTGGGGACGTTGGTGTTTGTGGGATCAGGTCAATGTGAATGGGAAAAAGCCGATTGAAAAACAGAAGTGGGCCAATGTACACCCTGAGATGTACACGTACCCACATCAATGACTTTAGCCAATCAAAAGATGGTGGCAGCTGTCTGTGCGAGATAAGCGAGCCGATAAGGTTGGTCTGGGTACCTTGTGCAGATAAGGTACGTACCGCAGACACCTCAGGGACACACTGCCGATTCCAGTCCAGAAATCGGCAGTAGGACCCTGAAGAAACTGGCAGGTGGGCCCTGAAGAACTCGACAGTTGGTCCCAAATTGGCAGTTGGCCCTCACACTGATCCATTGGGCCAGGGCAGGTGCCTGCGGTGAGGTACCTTACGTCCCCGGGAGATGTACCCGCGCTAAGTGCGTCCTTTCCGTTTGTCTTCGCGTCAACTTCGATTCTCGCACTCCTTCCTTCCTTCCTTCCTTCCTTCACACTTCCCACTTCCGCGTCTCTGCCGATCGCAACCGAGCAATCAACCGCGTCGGCGCTTCTTTCTGAGACGTAACGAGTCTTCAGGTCGCTCTATCTACCAGGAGCCTACCTACCAAGAGGTCGAGATTTCCCCCGTTGTCGCATCACCATCGCCAGGATGGCTCCTGCTACTGAGCCTGCTGGTGAGTACCAGCCCGTCCGCAGAATCCCCAATGCCTGTCCGATCGAAGACTGACGCATTCTTTTCCATCTCACAGCGTACAAGGGCAACAAGCTCCACCAGACTACCCTCAAGTTCACCGCCGGCAACAAATCGCACCCGACCGAGACCCGGGCTGTGACCACGAACAGCATGACCAGCGCCGCCGCAGCCGTCTAGAAGCCGACCGAGGACAGCCACGCCGTCGTCGCCACCAGTCCCAGAGCCCCTGCCGCCGAGATCACGAACGCGCGCGCCGGCGTGCACCCCAAGAATGGCCTCATCGTCATGTACAAGGTGCGGACTGGTGCCGTCGAGAAGTGGAAGCTGTCAAAGCGAGTCGACCTGGATGTTGTCGCTGCCTACTGGGCGAAAATGTCTGCCCGGACCGGCCTGACTGAGCGCGCTTGGTTGGCTCGACTTCGCTTCACATTCCGCGTCCAGCTGGCCCAGTTCCGGTTGGGCAGCGTCGCCGCCGGCCCAAGCAAGAAGCGCAAACGCCGCAATGCCGATGACGATGATAGCGACTACAAGCCACCAGGCGCCTAACCGCTATACCTGGGCGTGCGCTTGGGTTCGAGCGGAGGAACGCAAGACATGATGGATTCTGGGTGTGGGGGACTGAATTGTGGAATTGTGGAATTGTGGATTTTGGCAGACTGGTCAGACTCATGCAGCTGCAGAGCGCTGTTGATATGTAGCCCTGAAAACGTGTGTTCGCCGCCCGGCATCCCAGCCCATACCATCCAGAGCATATGGTACCGCGCAATTGTTGTGAATGTGACCCACCTACTGTGCAGTGCGAATTTCCCTGAAGCAGGAGCTTCCCTTGCGAGGGACGCTGTGAACGCCGCTGTCGGGCCCCAGCCCGTACGTACCATCTGTCCAGGATGGTACGCATCCTGGGAATGCAATCAACGCGAAGGCAAGTAAACTTGCCAAGTTCAACTAATCAAACAAGTCAATTATCAGGTTCAAACTTGGTTGATTGCCTTAGGGTGGGCGCTGCATCTTTTCAGAGCACATGCATTTTGCTCGTTTGCACACCGAGCACACCGAATACACCGATGCACATCACAGTGCACACCGAAATTGCGACAAGAGCCGCCAACCACTCACCATCCACAGCCCGCCGCATGATTGTGTCCGGCGCAATCAAGTGTTCTGTTGGATTGCAGATGCAATAATCACTCCTACGGTGGGCCATGAAGGTTCGAAGGCGACCTTGCGATGATGAGCATGCCATGTGCAGTGTTTTGACTTCTTGGGCGATGGCGCGGGTGCGTGGGTGGCTGGTCACAAGTGCCGATGCTTCAGTGACTGTGGTAAGCATCCAGTCGAAATTTCCGAACCCAAGCTCCACATGTTCTTTCAGCAGCCAATCAGTGCAAGCCTGTGTCCCACCACCAAAAAATCGTCACTTTCGTCCAAGTTTCCCAGAGGCGGGTCGGCCCGTGCCTTCGCCCAGCTGCCAGGTGAGCACCACACACGATGCCACCCAAATCCAACACCCCCGGCCACTTGATGATGGCCTTTCTGCAGGTTGCATTGAATGCATTTACCCCAACGAAGCGGTGCACATCGGTTGGAAAACACCATGGGCCGCCACACTCACATTGGTCGGGCTCGCTGCCTCTTTTCTTTCGCGTGCCTCGTGGCGGTGCAGGCTCCTCCTAGATGATAGTCTCGATAATGGCAATACGCACAGCGATCCAGGCTTGGAGTCCTGCAAAGATGGGCAAGCGACATGATTCAAGGTCATGATTGTCGGTAGCTAAAGATGTTGAGGCCAAGCCCTTCTTGCCAGATGCTCACCTGCTCGCGCGCCGCCGTGGCCAACGTGTAAGTCGGGTCCTTGCAAGTATCGCCTTTGCGTCCGCCTCAACGTCATCGTTCCCGACCGTGCAGACAGGCGCTTCCGGAGTCGAGATCGAAAAAGAGTGGCCGCGCAGGCACAACAACCGGTAAAATCAAATGTCTTTTACTTCCGATCGCTCATCACGACCCCTATTCGCAATTTCGCGCCACTTGTACGAACATTTCGACCCCGCAGCTGCATTCCCCGTCTGCAGCGATGCGCAATACTCAGTGCACCAGGCTGCGTCAAGGAGCTCGCCTGACGAAACAAACTCTGGTGTGGAAATCGTTCCTTTCGTTCACATTCCCATACCGCCAGATATAACAGAATCCATGCATACATGCCTGTTTCAGCAGTAGGCTATGATTATAGAAAATTGATCTAGAAAGTGAATGCAAGCTGTGAACAGAGGTGCAGGTACTCGCGATATTGCGCTGAGTGAGGTACGTACCTCTGAATCGGGGCAGATCCAGGTCAAAAGCTGCCACAGTCCATCAGGGTCGTGGCAGGTTCTCGCGAAAGGTGCCACAGTTGTGGGCGGAAAATAAAGAAGCTGCCACGCCTGATATTCCCAGGTGGGGGCAGGTTCTATCTTAGCAGATGCTATGCGACGATGGAGCAAGGTTACTTCCTTCTCTGCACCTGCTGCTGCTCTTTGTTCAGCTAATGCTGATGCTGAAAAACGTCATATTTGTTTCAATCGCCTCGGACAGTCGCCAGCGACTCCTCCTTTTGGCTCTTGGACTTGATAACACCCGCTTTTCAACGGTTCTCCGGTCTTGAGCCCGACGTCTTTCATCCCAGGCGCGGCGCTGCAGTCTGCGGTCTTCCCTTGACTGGTTCAACAAATGCCACATCATTTTGGCACCCTTTTTGCCCCGTCCGTCGATCCTCGTCCGCTGATCTTCTCCTCGCTGACCTCTTTGACTTCCATTGCCCGAGGATGCCACGCGATGCACGACATTCCACTAAAAGTCATCACACCTCATGTTGTTCTCGTTTTGTCGTCGGCCATAGCATCCGCCTCGAACTGCGATGGAGGCCACCCATCGACCCCAGCTATATTCACCTCTTGAAGCCTTTCCACGACCGTCCACTTTCGCGCGACATCTGCTGATAATTCAGCCATGCCCAACCTCTGCCCCGAATCTCGGGTTATGAAGTCCACTCCCGAGTCGCGCCCGGTTCCGAAGTCAACTTTCTGCCCCGATTAGATAACGGCCTGCAGCTTCGGTACGAATCTGTCGCATGAACTTCATCACACAGCGTCGAACATGACTCCACGCCGCCCCAAGGCACCGCTCGAGATCCAATACCTGTCTTCTCGAGACCTTGTCAAACCATCGCGAAGGACCACGAAGTCAGACCGAGCCGCAGCCACAGCCACGCCAAGAAGGCCCCCACCGTTGATGACGGCAAGAACGCATCTCCATGAAGGGAACATTGCGTAGACCCAGACGGATGCGAGGAGCCTGGGCATGCATCCATGGACCAATAATAACAGGCCAAAAATGACATTGCATTGCCGCTCCTATCCACGAGTACAGATAGACTAAGATACCAGCCCACGCAACATTGGTCAACAATATAGACGCCTACACCAACAGGGTATTCAGAGATGGTCCATCCAAAGCGATGCTGATCTCTCGCCGAAAGCAGAATAGGACGAGCAATCCAAGCTGGAAGAGCTGTGCGATAATCATGAGAAACAAAGAAGTCCGATGTATGCCTGGATCAAGAGTCAATGCGCGAAGGATTCTAAATCTAGTTCAAGAGCGATCCTGTGGAGCTGCAGGGGCTAACAATAACAATGCCGGCGTGCTCATGACCTTCACCGTCACTGAACCGGAAGAGCTACCGATGGCTTGGGTTGCCGTCGTCAGGACGAGTCCAAACCTTTCCCTGCTCGAGGCACCGCTGCGAATGAACACCCCAAAACCCCAAAGATGGGAGAAATGAAAGTTCCCCATCAGACTCCAAGATGGCACCTCTCCCTGGCCTGAATAGTAAGAAAAGTCGGCAGTCTGCCTGCTGGCTTGCGGTCGCACGGACGCGAAGTGACGGGAGGGTTCCTGATGAAGGCAATTGATTCGATGAATTCGCCTTCTCTTGAATCGTCAATCAGTCGCTTGCCACCTTGGAGAATCGCAAATACATCGCCGTGAGTGTTTGGCCATTCGATTTAATCGCTAACATGCAGCACACTCCATCGTGGAAGATGATGAAATGCCATTCTCTCGCGCTAGGCTGTTAATAATGGCGCTAGCCCATCGAGTCTGCCCCTCCTGGTTGCCGGAACTGGCATTGCGGATGATGGCACGACCGCCGAGTCAAGGAAGCCAGCCACCCCAGCGCTCTCCAGATACTGCAGCAGAGACTCTCGCCGGGAAAAAGGAAGTGTTCTGCAAAGTTGTCACTAATAACGTTGGCTACTTTGGTGTCCCGAGACCTGCATGGCGCGGCGACTTGGAAAGCCACAGCGTTCGAGACTTGGGTGAAAGTTTCACGGACCTCTAACGTTCTAGAAGTCAGGCAAGATGGCATCGTTCATCAACCTGCTGCCCTGGTATTAGAGCACGTGGAAGATACGGCGTCAAGAACGGGGCAGCTTTTTGCGGCACTGCCGTCGCGGTGCCGTTCGAAAGATGATGGCGGAGAAGAGAAACTTAATCAGGGCGCGCACCGTGCTTGACTGATTGTCACTTGGATCCAGATTACATGAGCTGACGGAATCGAAGAGCAAAAAAGGTGCTTAGAGATTGGATACAAAATAGTCTCTGGTGGTCCATTTCAAACGAACGCTGCTGGCATGATTTCGGTATGGAATACTCCTCGTTCTAACTTTATTAAGGTATGCTTCTGCGTTCCGGAGAGCCTTTTGACGGCGGATGATGTGACTGCGTCCGGAGCATGCTTCGGGAGATCAATCTCCCTTTCTGATGATCAGTTTTCAAGCCGCTTGACGCATCGACAGGCAAACGTGAAATCAAACACCGCGGTATGCTGGCCTCAGTGTTCTCTCAGGCTCAAGCTGTACTGCATACCAGGATGTCGAGCCTTGACACATGTGGAAGAAGTCATATTATAGGATGTTCCACGCATTATGTTGGGGGTTGGAGCTGGGCGTTTCATCAAAGTTCTTCGGACGATTTTCCGCAAGACTGGAAGTGTAATAGAGCCTGTGGGAACAGAGCCGGACAATGCCATGAGGATCTCAGGTATGGGGGCAAGGGAAGGAGATCGATTTCTCAAAAGCTTCTCTTAAATGCGCCAGCACGAGGGTAGAGTGGACGGTGGTATCACTCGCGGCGGGACTAGGCAGATATTCATGCTCTTTCATGCATGGCAGGCGAAGTGTCTAACCTTGGCCCTCATAACTCGTAAAAGCAGGATGGGCTTCACAAGACGGAAGAGATCATGGATGAAAGATGAAGGGTGTCATTTGTGCGGGTGAGGCCACGGCCGAGATGAGTCAACTCGCTGAAGGGGTCAGCAAAAAGGCCTGCGATGAGGCTTCAAATTTTCTCACCTGATTTAAAAGCATTTATCACGACGGCTGCTTGAATTAGTCTATGATATGTAATATGTCCTGGTTCCCAAATGTTTGCGCTCGCTCAACACTCCTAGCGTCCGGACGATGTTCAAGGCTATCCGGAGCGGAGATCGCCCTGCAGCTATGCGGAATATGTGA